AAAGTTAAAGAATTAATAAATACCACAGTTCATTGGATATTTTGCTATGACACAATTATTACTAATCCTCGTACCCTCCTCCTCCTTGAGGTGTCTTCATGAATTCAGCCTGTGAGTAGTCAGTGTTACTGGAGTCTCTACGTGCCTTACCCTTAGCTCCCCTTGAGTGAAGTGATGGAGTCCAACAAAATTGCTCTTACTACTCGGTGATCTCCCTAAAAGACTATTGCATGCATCATTAATTTTAACGAAGTTGGCAAAAGGTGAAGAATATTTGACTTAGTTACTTCAATGTATAGGCTTCTTTACATCATCTTTTATAAGAAAAGATTTGATCAAATTAATTCAGCACAATTTCAAGAATCAAGACTGAGTACCATAGATAATATAATGATATAGCCATAAGATCTTCATAATAGTTTTTCCAACAAAAATAAATACCAGTAATAATGCTTTATTTTAAACTAATGGTCATAACTCAGGCCGGCATGTACATGTATACACCAGTACTACTTAATTCAAATTGCATATCATAAATAATATTCCTTGAAAATTATTAGTAGATCACATCACCTGTGCAAGAGCCACCTGTCTTAGTTGTAGCCCTGGCAATCATAATAGGGCAGTAAGGAGGTTAGCTCTACCTTAATTACTATCAATACATTTCTTTCACAGGAATCACAGCTGCTACCACATTTCTTTCACAGGAATCACAGCTGCTACCACAAAGGGGCTGTCTTATATTTTTATTGGTGTATGTTTTGACAGCTTGAGCCTACTTACTACTGCATGTGTTACAGGTATTGCTAGTATGAAATATATGATACTATAGGATGTAAGTACATGGTGTAACTGGAATAATCTGAGCATAACTGTATATTAATTTTCATTTCTACTACATTGAATAACTTATTATTGATTTAAAAGAATTAGCAACATAATGTTTAGAAAAATTTCAGCACTCTAAAAACTGACTACCATAATAGCGGTTTTTCCAAGGATACTGCAAATGGCCTGTATCCAGAGATTTACAAAATTCATTTTTGCAAATTTCCACTATTCTGCCATTTTGAACCATATCAAACAGAATTTAAATTCATAAATCATTTAAAATCTGCAAAAATTTTTTATCCTCAAAAACACGTCTTGCTTTAAATTTAATTGATTTTTGTCTAAATAGGATTAAAAGGCTGACACAGGCAGCAATATGCCA